TCCACCCAGCATCGCATGCTGAGGGAATTCCTCAGAGAAGTTGATGCCAATGCTGATGATCTTTTGCTGCACAATAATGTGAGATGGCTCAGCAAAGGGAAGGTCTTAGCGCGCTTTTGGTCCATCAGGAGGGAAGTAGCATCTTTTTTGGCAGAGCTAAGACATCAGAAGGCAACGCAGTTTTCTCTCTTTTTAGGAAATGAGAAACAGATTGATAATGTGGCCTTTTTGGTTGATATCACTGCACATCTGAATGAACTGAATTTGAGGCTACAGGGCGAGGACAATTCAATTTGTGAACTGATGACCGCTGTCCGCTCCTTTCAAAAGAAACTTGAGTTGTTCAAGGAAGACCTGCAGGGAGACTGTGCACACTTCCCAGCAGTGCAGGAACAGGTACAGGGACAGAGAGATGTGTCTTCTTTTGTTGACTTCATTGATAAGTTGATCGTAAACTTCAGCAACCGTTTTGACAGCTTCAGCTTTGGACAGCAGCTCACCATGTTCATTCAGAACCCATTTATCATCACGGATGTCAGGGGGTTCTCAGAGGAAGTCACACAGCACTTTAAATGGGTAAATCCTGGGCCTCTCCAGATGCAACTGGTTGATCTCCAAGCAGATGTGTCCCTGAGAGCGCAGTTTCTAAGAACTGACCCTTCCACTTTCTGGCTCCAAACGGTCCCTGAGACAGCTTTTCCAGGTCTGAGGAAAGTTGCCATATACATCTTGACCATGTTTGGCTCCACCTACAACTGCAAGGCAGCTTTCTCCACGATGAATATCATCAAAAATAAATATCGTTCGAGGCTCACCAATGAGCACCTCCACATGTGCATGCGGATGGCCCTGACTCCATTCAAGCCCAGGTTTAAAGTCCTGGCAGGACAAGCTAGAGCTCAATTCTCCCACTGACCAACAAAGTGGGGGAGTGGGATGCAAGACTAATGCTCTAAAACTGTTAAATTGTTAAGATGTGTTAAGATTTATTATCTGTAAAATCGTTTGGGACTGAAACCGAAACGGGGACATTTAAGCTTTTCCTCCCTTTATTTATTTTTTCTGAAGTTAAGCACTTTATTTGATTATTATTATTTATTATTACATGCACCATTTTCATTTTGTATTTATTTTATTTTAAAAATGCAGCCCTACTTTTATTTAGTTCATGAGAGAGCATTATACATATCTGCAGTCACACATAAGTCCAGTTCTATGTTACATGATAATAAATATTGTTAAAAAGTGTTTTAATCGTACCGAATTCCTTTGATTTGAAAGGTATTGATTATATGCAGATGTTGATACAACTACCAGGCTACTTAAATATATATCACACTAAATAGTTAGACATTGTGATCTTCTGGACCTTTGCTTCAAGAAAATTTCTCTAACTGGACCTCTTAACATTTTAGTTGAATACCCCTGCAATACAGGATTTACAATACCAGTCACTAAGCTTTCAAATTCACACATGCTCTAATAACATCTTTTTAGCTAAGAAACTGTTTTTTGATTTACTTTAGTGAGTGAGTTTTCTGCAATGAGTTATTCAAACGAACAGCACAAAAAACAATACAAACGCACTCTGCCCTGCTTTGTTTCTATGTCATTTAAAGAAAATCGCTGCCGTCTCTCATTAAAACTGTTCTTCTTGAAGTACTACTAGTAATAGAATAGGGTGTTGTACCAGGGGTTATAATATAACAGAAGGAGCAGCGGTTTCCAAATACATTATTGAACACTTGTATCTGCTTACATCCATGTAGCAATGTGTTACAAAGACTTAATAAATGGTTGTATTCAAAGACTTAATAAATGTTTGTATTGTGGTTCTAAATGAAAAATAGCGGGGTCTTGGTGAAAAGTGAAACCCAAGCCCTACTATATATTGAGTTTAAAACATTGATAAAGGTACATTTTCTCATTACTCTTATTTAAAGAACCCTTAAACTTTAAAGAGCTTTATCTGAGGACTGAATGAACCCTATGTCTTGGTGCTTACCATGTACATTATTATACCATTGATGCAGCTGCAATATTATGTTATTTAGCAAATAATGGCTTATGATGCGCTGACTGTCCAGGATGAAATACTTTTGTCCCCTCTTAGAATGACAGACTGCTTCTCCCTCATCAGTCTCAACCAAGTTCTCTCTGAGCTGATAACTCTAAGTGTGCCATACATAGTTCTGTGTAATATGTTTATCGCTCGTGTGTGTGTGTGTGAGCGAGAGAATGTTCTGATGCCTTGCATAGTGACAAAGAGGATTGGGACACGCACACACTACAATACCATATAGATATGATACACACAGTAGATGCACATTAATTAATTAGCATTGGTACTCAAGGTGTGTGTGTGTGTGTGCGCTGCCCGTTAACCCACAACATAAACACACACAGTGACAGAAGCAGTCCAAAATCATATGCTTCCCTAAACCCTGAGTTTGTTTGTGTGTATGTGTCAGCGTGCGACAGACAGCGTGCTGCCTTATCCGGGCTGGTATTGTGTTGCATTAGCATTTCCTCTCAGCCTGTGTGCTGTTTGCGAAATAATAAAAGCTGGGATTATTGGAATGAAAGCTGCAGAAAGGAATAACTGAACGGTTTGTTCTTGTTTGTGCCACATGACATTTAGAGCATTTAGCTGAGACACTCAAAAAAATGCTTGGAATTGAGATGCCAAACACTGGCCCCAAGGTCAGATTTGTGACCTGTTTAAAAATGTTTTAATGGTAAATCATTTGTGAAATGAAGCCAGTATCAATTTAAGAACATAATGTCTGTTTATTTTATAGTGAATTATTGTCCTTTATAAGTCACACCCCTCACAATTAGATTTGTTATTAAGTTTTGTGCATGTGACATTCATCCAAATATCTTGTGTATTAGCCTCACAATCTCTCTGCTGCACACTACCATTACGTCAACACTACACCTCCCATGATTCACCCTGGCAGCCTTCTCAGAGGACATTATAATGGTGGCATAGACCGAGAGGTTTGACCTGTTTAGTGTAGTCACTTTGCAGCTGAATGATTGCGTAATTGATAGCATAAAGAAACACAAGTTTGAAAGTGACATTTCCTGGAAGTACAACAGAACATTGCTGCTGTTCTGGACTTGAGCTCCAGTCAGTTTTTTTGTATTTCTTTTAGCCAGATGATTGCATTTACATCTAAGAGTGTAGGATTGGACCATTGCCTTGACTCTGATATCCAGGAAAGTAAGACCAGACCTTTTTCTGGAGGGTTCGGTGTGTCGCTTGTACCGCGGTGTCGAGGTGTGTGATTTCAAGACTGTGCCTGAACTGCTCCGTAATTATGTGCATGCAGGACTGGACCATGTACATAAACATGGGGCTGTTGGCACAGGCCACACCTGGAGACATGTGTCCGTCAAACTGTTGCACCATGTCCATTCCCAGTAGCCAAAAGGCCGTACTGGTTGTACTAGACACCATGTTAAATTTGCGCTACTGGCTCTCAGCTGGGCTTTGTTTGAAGCCCAGTGGACCAGTGTCTCCACAGTAACAGTAACCAACGGTTACGCAAGCTCGACAACAGCTAACCGTCAATGACCCAAATTCCAGCAGTAAATCACAACATACATACACACATTCCCAACTCCACCCTTTCCTATCGAAACTACGCTTAGTTTCCACTCTGCGCGACTGTCTCGATCAAACGGGGAACGTGTGAGCGAACGGAGGGAGGTAACGAGGGAGAAAGCTGACGTAAAGACAGAGAGGGAAACTATTTCTCTCTTGTTCAATGAAAAAAACATACGGAAAGGGTTTCGTCAGCAATCTCTTCTTTTTGTCCGGTCGCATTTAAGAATGGATCAGTCCTCACGTCTGCTGGCTGTGTTATTACACTCAAGCAGGAGGCCACATACAGACTTTACCACTGTATAGTTATTGTGTAACTTGCTGCCTCAAATCTGCCTACCCAAGAAAACTAAAGGTTAAAGTGCATTGTTTTGCTAATGAAAACACTTATTTAAATTCATAATTTAACTTCACAATCCTAATAGGTTGTTTTGTGCACGTTTAAAGGCTGTATTTTGTTAAATGTTGGGTTTTGTCTCATATCTTTATTGTGTTTACGTTATGTTCCACATGGTCGCCCACATGATACCGTGATAGTGAAGCGTCCAGTTTTTTTCTTCTTATCGCTGAGAGGAAGATGATATCACCCTTTAGTTTTCAGTACATGTTCGCTTTGCAATGTCTACAAGCTCCCTTGGAGTTGTCATGCTTCTAATGGTAATTGCCATGACATATGTGGCCAGTTTTATGGCTAAACCTTAACGAATGCAGACACATGCTGTGTCAGCACCGTTTTACATATTATTATATATCAGGCCCGGTGCGTGCGTGTGTCTTTAAGTAGTGGAGTCTGCAAAGGGAAATGTCAACACGCAGGCAATAAATTTGCACCTATTTCAGCACGCTCCTATCCCATCCAGCACTGGCTCTGCTCCACCCTGTGTGGGTTTGTGTAAGACAGAGTGGTGAGAGAGGTCTATAACACAATAAATGGTAGCGCTTTCATTTTCTGAGCCGGGAGGTGAGGACGTTTCTATATGTTTGGTCATTATTACAAGAAAAAGGGTTTTCTCAAAAGTGAATAGATCTCCTTCAACGAACGTACCATTAGCCGTGCACAAAAGGAAGTCATTTAGGTTTCAAAGTCGGTTTACGTAACGAAACCTTTTCTCTGGTCGTCACACAAACTTGCTGACACACTTTGCTTCCTGGCTCTGAGCCACTGTGGCTTCTCTTCTCCCGCGACACTCAAGGCTGCTGAACAGTCACCTTACTGCACAGAGCTGATGACTGCTTTACAATAATCATCAAGGAGCATTTAAATCGGTTGGCTTGAACAGAATGATCTTTTGTCAACAGGTGTTGTATGCATGTAAACCGGAACATACTCGCTGTAGAATGCTTTTCTGCTCTCCAGTTAACCGTTTGTAAAAAATCTCTTGCACAGGACTTGGAGTTCCACGGCGTGATGCGGTTCTACTTCCAGGATCGCGTTGCCGGTAACTTTGCCACCAAGTGCATCCGGGTGTCCAGCACAGCGACAACGCAGGACGTCATTGAGACGCTGGCGGAGAAGTTCCGACCTGACATGAGGATGCTGTCCTCGCCAAAGTACTCGCTGTATGAGGTCCACGTCAGCGGCGGTGAGTGCCACAAGCCGGGGGAGACAGGGTTCCCGGTTTCAATGTTAGTAATATTAATACCACGACATGGTGGACTCTGGGACGAACCGCTGTGTCTGTGTTTTTAGAAGAGCGTCAGCTGGACCTGGACGAGAAGCCGCTGGTCGTGCAGCTGAACTGGAACAAAGACGACCGAGAGGGACGCTTCGTCCTGAAGAACGAGAACGACATCCTCCCTAAGGTCGGCTGCTTGTCCGTTAACCTGCTGGAGTCTGTTCTCCACTGAGCGGACTCATCCATCCATCCATCCATTTATTCATGCGTCCGAAAGGAATTATCCTTAAGCACCTTACGCTAACAGCTAAAAAACACATCTAGAATATCCGGATACATGTTGTTATCCAGAGTTTTTAAAGCTAAATCAAAGCGCCTCATTACATCTGACCTAATCAGATACGAGTACGTCATTGGAAGCATCATCCTGGTGTACTCTCCTGGAGCACCTCAATCACTCTTTATTCCCCTTTCTACCAGAAGAGTCAGAGTAATGGTCCGGAGAAGGAGAAGGACGGCGTGATCCAGAACTTCAAGAGGACTTTATCCAAGAAGGAGAAGAAGAAGGAAAAGAAGAGGGAGAAGGAGTTTGCCCGGATCCCCGATGGAGACGAGCATACGCTCACCCGGGAGGACGGGTAAGACACCCAGGCTCATCCATCTTTTATAATGCCTAGAAAAGCACAGAAACTCCCAAAGAGGAAAGACTCGTTGACCTCTCTGCTCCTCCATCCATCTTATCCCCCCCCATCACCCCTCCTCACTCATTTTGAATTATCCCCTCCGTCATTCGTCTCCCTCGTTCCTGGGTTTAGGGAAAACAGTTGTCTGGCGGCAGAGGTTTACAAGGACATGCCGGAGACCAGCTTCACCAGGACAATCTCCAACCCGGAGGTGGTGATGAAGAGGAGACGCCAGCAGAAGCTCGAGAAACGCATGCAGGAGTTCATGAGCAGCGATGGGAGGCCCGACTCAGGTACTACCTTCTGTGGAGCTTCTAATAACCTCTTCTACAAAAACGTAGCGCATCACACACACAAGTATGTACACAAACACACACTTGTTTCCTCTGACCACCCCCCTTCGGGTTGTGTTCCCAGGGGTGTACAAACCCCCCCCCCCCCCCCCCCCCCCAAAAAAACAATGAAATCCACATGCCTTTAAGACTGAACGCTGTCTGCATAGATCCAAATAAAGGTGTGGAGAATCATACTAACCCATTGCACTAGCATTTCATTCCACTTTATTTTATTACTTGTGCACTGTTGTCTTGTCTGTCTACTGTCGCGCACTAACCGCCAAGACAAATTCCTTGTATGTTTGACATATTTTGGCTAATAAATGTTTCCTGATTCCTGATTCCTGATTCCCTGGAGCTGAATTTCATTCTTTCTCGTAAAATGCAGGACGTTTTAAAAAAAATACCATGACTTTTCCGTAGTCAAAGGAGTAATCAAGGGCTCGATGATTTCTTTGAAAGAGCTCCAGAGATTCTCTGCCGGGGTCGGTGGACTTGCTATACGGACAAGCTTTTATTAGATTTGGTAGTGGGCTCACTACCAACTCACACAGGGTTTAAAGAGCAGCAGTTATTTAAAAGTAGCAACAGAAATATGCAGATTGGGGCATGCGTACAAGCTGTTTTAATAAGGCTTTATCTATACGGAATGAGTCTCCGGGCAGGCCGTGGAAAAAAACGAGTAGAACCCAGCTAATGACACCCCTACTACAGAGCGTCGGTGGAAAGTATAGGGATGCCTCACAGCAGAGGGAGCAAAAAGACTGATCCAGAATTAGGGAACGATGAGTGGAGCCAAATCTAAAAACCTTCCCCCAGAGCGAATGTGACATCATGTTAAGATCCAGAGTGTGTTTAGAAAAAAGTCCTAATGTCTCTGTGTGGCTGTCCTGACGCGTACCCCAGGGAAAGTCTGCAGAGCGACTCGGAACACTACAGTTCAAGGCCCCTCTTCGTCGAACTTGACTGAGCTCGCCAGAATCTGCCAGGAAGCAGCTGGTGAAGGTGTTCTGCAGCTGTAAATGCCACCCAGCAGTACTCATCGTGAATGGGAAATTCTGTTGCCATAGATTACCGATCAGTCAGCTTACATCAGGTGCTCCGCTGCAGGCCATATGTCCTAGAGGGACGTCTCCAGCCGACATAAAAATGCCAAAAAAAATGATGCACACGTCGCCTGAACGAAACAAACACGACGGCTGCTTCGGTGACTCAAAACATTATTGAATCATTCTGACAGACAGACAGATCAGACCAGTGAACCCGACAGTAGAATCTGCTTTAACCACGGTCCACACACACGCGGTGGGACAGGGTGGCTTGTGGTCAGACAGTGACGTTCTCCCAGCAGTAACTGCTATTTTAAACAAGCTTGTTTTTATATAATGCCTGAAAACCCTGTTTGCTTAGCTGAAGACTCCCTTGTGGCTTTTTACCAAGGTGATCATTTCCCGTTTGTTTCCCTGAAACGTGTGCTAAATTAAATATATTTTGCAAGCACTACAGTAACTTTGGGTTACTTAACGTAACCTCGGTTCTTTGATAACAGAGTGAGGTGTTTCACTATGGGAATCGCCTCGGCGTGACCAACTAAGGAAGCTCCAATGACACCATGTCTGCCAGTGACAGACAGGTCGAACTGTGCTCTCGAACTGTCCCCTCATGTTACCACAGTCGACCGCCCCTCGCAAATCATTCTACACCGATTTCTTTCTGTGTCAATGCAAGGAGGGATGTGTGGTGAAACACCTCACTCTGTTATCAAAGAACCAAGGTTACGTTAAGTAACCCAAAGTTCTTTTTCTAACTTCGTTCGGTGTTTCACTATGGGAGATATAGACCGCTCCCGTATTGCATGCCGTTCCCGAAGCCAAAAATTGTTTAGCCCGGTAATGACCATCACAGGGACTTTGGCGCGTTGGCCTCTAGCACAGCATGTGCTAAGGAAGGCCCTGAGACATCTAGCCTATAAAACCTTACAAAAGTGTGAGGTGTAGACCCACTTGCTGCCGCACAAATATCCTGCACTGGAACCCCCTTGAACAGGGCCCATGAAGTGGCCATACTCCTCGTGGAATGAGCCTTCAAACCCTGCGGGGGCTGCAAACCCCTACAACTATAGACTAGAGATATGGTCTCCACAATCCAGTGGGACAGCCTCTGGTGTGACAATGGTTTTCCTTTGTGAGAATTGGCCCAGGACACGAACAGCTGATCTGCTTTTCTGAACCCTGCCGATCTACTCACATACAAATGCACTGCTCGCACCGGACACAACGTGTTAAGCCTTCGTTCCTCTGAGGAGGAAAACGGAGGAGGGTGAAAAGCTGAAAGCTCCACCGTGGGACACTTGTATGCTGCCTCCACCATCTTAGGCACAAAAGCCGGGTTGGGCCGCATACAGACCCTAGTGAGCCCTGGAGCAAACTGTAAGCAGGAAGGGCGAACGGATAAAGTCTGTAAGTCACTCACATGCTTTGCTGTGGTTAAAGCCAAGAGCAAGGCTGTCTTAAGTGAAATAAATTTCATCTCCGCTGGCTCAAACGGGTGTTGAGAGAGGGCCTCCAACACCATCAATAGATCCCACAGAGGAACCAGGGGCCTGGAGACGGGGAGCTTACGGCGAGCACCTTTCATGAAACGACATACTAAAAGTCTACTAAATCCTGCAGAAAACATAGCAGGTTAACCACTGAACACCGGAAAGGAATGATGTGCCTAAAACGGCACCATTCCTTAAAAACCCGTCATTTACCACTGTAAAGAGAGCGCGTGGAGGCGGCTCTTGCACTCTGAATGGTGTCAATGACCCGTTCAGGCAGGCCTGTTGCGTTCAGGTTCCACCTCTCACCGGCCAAGCCCAGAGCGCTATTCGATCTGGGTGAGGGTGGTAGATCTCCCCGCCAGCCTGGGACAGAAGGTCCCTGCGTATGGGCACGGCCACGGCTCGTCCGTCAAGAGCTGTATTATTTCCGCCACCCAATGTTTGGACGGCCACCGCGGCGCTATCAGGATTAGCGTCAAGCCCTGTTCTCGTACCTTGTCTAGAGTCTGGGAGATCAGGCTGAGCGGGGGGAATGCATAGAGCAGGACGTTTGGCCACAAGTGGGCCGGCGCATCCATCCCCAGTGGTGCGTTTGCGTCTGCCAGGGAGAAAAACAGTGGACATTGAGTGTTTTCCCGCGAGGCGAAAAGATCTACGTCTGCTTGGCCGTATTTCTGCCAGACTTGCTTCACCACTTGAGGGTGAAGAGCCCACTCTCCGTACAGAGGGTTCCCTCGGGACAGAAGATCTGCACCCCTGTTCCGCACCCCTGGAACGTGTGTGGCTCGAAGAGACAGGAGCTTGGTGCTGCTCCACAGGATTAGCTTTCGAGCCAACCTGTGTAACTGCAGTGAGCGAGTGCCGCCTTGGCGGTTGATGTACACCACGACGGTGGTGTTGTCTGTATTTACCAGGACGTGGCGTCCCTGGAGAAATGTCAGAAAATGTTTTAGTGCATAAAACACTTCCCAGAGTTCCAAGATGTTTATGTGACTCTGAGCCAGCCTCGGCTCCCAGGTTCTGTTCATCGTCCTGCCCGACATGGTTGCTCCCCACCCTGATAGGGAGGCATCAGTTGTCAAGGTTATCCTGGATGACACCGCCCCCAGCGCGAGAGCCGTCACGTCCTCCCACGGGCGGCGCGCAGCCACGCACGACTGTAACACTTTCACTCTGCGGTTGAGGTGACGACGCGGGCACAGGCGCAATGCCGCGACCCAGGGCTGAAAATCCCTCATCCGTAGAAGCCACAAATGTACCACAGATATCACTGACGCCATCAGGCCGAGCAAGCGAAGGCATAGTCTGAACGACACGCCTTCCCCAGCCGGAAGAGGGAGAGGCACTGTGTGAGGGACGTTACTCTCGCCTCAGTCAGCTTGACGCGATAGGAAACAGAGTTTATGTTGAGACCCAAGTAATCTGTACACTGTGCCGGTTCGACTCGACTCTTTGTCCAGTTTATATTGAACCCCAGATCCGTGAGATGATTTATCACCGTAGCGGAATCTTTGACCGCCTGCTCTTGTGACTGGGAGCATATCAGATAATCGTCTATGTACGCGAAAATCCTGATGCCGCTGTTCGGTAACGGCGCCAAAGCGGCTTCCACACACCTACTGAACACCCGCGGGGCTAATGAGAGCCCGAATGGGATGGCTTGGTACTCGTAGGCTAAGCAAACCTGAGAAACCTCCGGTGTGCTGGATAAATGGCGATATGAAAATAAGCGTCCGAAAGATCGATCGTTACGAACCAATCCCCCGGACGGATTGAATGGCAGAGCCGTGTACTTGCGTGCCTGTTTAACACACAGAGATCTAAAATGGGGCGGAGGGAAGTACTCCCCTTTTTTGGGATGAGGAAGTAGCGGGAGTAAAAACCCCGCTGAGCTTCCTCGCTCGGGACAGCTCTGATTGCCTGTTTGTTCAACAGCGATGTTATTTCGCCCTCTAGGACTCAAGCTGAATCGCCCTTGGCTACTGAAACTAACACCCCGTTGAATCTGGGTGGCTTCATAGCGAATTGTAGTCTGTACCCCTGAGAAATAGTTGATAAGACCCACGGATGCACTGCGCATGCGCGCCACCGTTCTGCCCGACCAGTGAGTGGGCTGAACACACCGTATGGTGACGTCACTTCCCTCACCTGGAGGACGCAGCCTCGGTGGAGCGTGATTTCCCCCTGTGGGGATTATGGGGCCATGACATGGATTTGTTTTTATAATGTATTTCGCCCTCGGCCTTCGGCCTGGCTGCGAGAATACAAACTTTATATCTTTTGTTTGAGGTGGGAAGAAGTGCTTGGTGACACTGTGTTACCCGCTGCCCCCGATCCCTTGAACGAGAGGGGGGAGAAACATCAAAAGCTCCTCTGGAGAAAACACCAGGGAATTTGGAATACAAACTCGTGGGGTATGTCTCACCTCCACCGCCCTTCTTTTCTTTGAAGGTGGAGGGGAGGGAAAAGCAAGGCCGGTTAGGATGTGCGCTTCTTCTTCCCTTCCCCGGGGTGGGATGGGCGGTTCTTTGCTGCAGTGGCTGCAAAGGAGTGTTTGCCCCATGGTTTGGGGTTTTCCACTCGAGGCTGCTGGTCTGCTGACTCGCTGCCTGTCTGTGCGGTCTGGCGCCTCCCCGTGCCCCCCTCACAGCTGCGGCTGCAGCTGCAAAACCAGCCCTGGGCACCTGCGGGATGCGAGGGATGTGCTTTCGTGGCAAACAGGTTGAAGGGTTCGCCCTCTTGTTTCCTGAGGGTGCTGGCCTCCCTCATCTTTTCAAGAGCAGGGCCAAACAAACCCTTAGCTGGGTCATAAGCAGCATCCATCACCTCTGCCTTCTGCACATCGCTGAGGCCCGAAAGATTCAGCCATAGGGCCCTCTCGCCTGAGACCGCGACCATTACACGGCCACAGCCCTGCACCGCACCACGTGATGAGTGGAGGATGAGATCATTTAGCACGCAAATCTCATCCCACAGGGCCGGTTTCGTGACCCAGAGTCCAGTTGCCTGCCCATCTCCTCTAAGATTTCTCCCTGGTACCCAGACAGCAAAGTCACCGCGTTTAGCGAACACACTGACTGTGCCGCATAGTACATTCTCTGCAAAACAGAGGCGGTGAGGCGCTCTGTTTTATTAGGCAGGGTGATGTTCGAGGAAGCTGAGAGAGAGCGGCGGTTTGGGTGGAGGTGGTAAGCCACTGAAGGTTCTACCTCTTGTGGGCCTGCTAGGCCCAGCTCCCCCATCCCATCAACCTCCAGTTTAGAGTAGCCCTTGGTGGGGAGCTTACTCTTGAACGGGCTGGACCAGTATCTGCCCATTTCCTTCATGCAGATGGGCACGGCTGGCAGAAGTTGTTTAGATGGCGGTAGGGTTGGCGGCGGCCTTTTACCGTCGTATAGGTCTCTTCCCCCCCCCTGTAGCATCTTGGGCTGCCGGCCATTGTACGCCCAATTTTGACGCGGCCCGTTTGCAGACCTCATACAGGTTGTTGTCCACTGGGGGGACAACATCAGATGCACTGGGGGGTCTGGGTGGTTCGACAGGAAAAGTGGAGTCATCCTCCTCCTCTTCAATGTCGTCCACGTCAAGGAGGTCAGAGTTGGCATCGCCCTCTGCGTCCTCACCACCCAGCTCCAGTTCGAGCAGTTCCTCGAAAAGTGGAGGCATTTCCGTGGACTCAGCATCCATCATGTCCGCCCAGCTCGAAGAAGCTCGCAGCAGGTGGGTGCTAGTTGAGGCTTTTGGGGCAGTTCCAGACAGGCACGGGTCCTGCTTTGAGGATGCCGCCACTCTAAGCCGTCTCTCCCGAATCTTCTCCGGCATTGGCTCACAGTGTAGACAGGTCTGTGGATCCGCCAGAGCCGCCTGGGCGTGTTTAGCGCCCATGGAGGCTATGCACATCGGATGAGGGTCCCTGCCCGAGATGGATGCCCGGCATGACGCAGGGCACGGGCGGGATGCAGCCTCTTTGGCTTTCAGCTCTGACCCTTTGGCGGGGGTAGCAGCCGACATAGCAACTGAGAAGAGAGGGGAATACACAACAATTAACCGAGCCTAGCGTTAGCTTAGCTTGACGGTAAATTGCTTCGGTAACCGGGGGTTTATCCCGCTAACCGCGCACCGTAACAGTTTGCTCGTCGTGACACGTTAGCAAAACAACGGTTACTCGGCTCGACTAGCAAACTAATGCTAACCGAGACCCGGCAGGCTCGCCGTAACGCGTTAGCCCAAGATAATGGCACAGTCACCGAAGGCACAGGTAATCAAATACCGAGCCGTCGGGAGAACAGTTCGTCTTGACGCGGACACTGCCTTAATACTGTGTAGTAACCAAATACACTTCTATGAAGTAACTTACCCAGCAAATCCAGACTACAGCCAGGAGCTGCGTTCGGCGACGCGTCCTAATGGGTCGTCTGCGAACCGTTAAGCAGCAATCCAAGCTAGCCAAGATAAGCTGAGGGAGCTATAGTTCTTCACGGGAAGAAAACGAGAATGATTTGCGAGGGGCGGTCGACTGTGGTAACATGAGGGGGCGGGGCCCCAGCACAGTTCGACCTGTCTGTCCCTGACAGACGTGGTGTCATTGGAGCTTCCTTAGTTGGTCACGCCGAGGCGATTCCCATAGTGAAACACCGAATGAAGTTAGAAAAAGAACTCCCCTTCCAGCAACTCGACTAACATAGCTCTTTACATCTCCTGTTCTGTGTAGTCATTTCATATGTTCAAGTAAGACCGGTGATCCTTACTGTTATTGCATGGTGTTGGACAGAAGAGCATAGGGAGACGTATTGTTAAGCAGTGGCAGTAGATGTAGACTACTGTAGATAGTAGATGCAGCCAGCTCGGAGGATCCGACGCGCTTTCGTGTGAAGGGTGAAATTAGTAACAAAATCTGTGTTTTCTTCTTCCGTTGCAGGAGGCACTTTGCGGATATACGCCGACAGCCTGAAGCCCAACATCCCATACAAGACCATCCTACTCTCCACAAGAGACACGGCAGACTTTGCTGTGGGAGAGGCGCTGGAGAAGTACGGTCTGGAGAAGGAGAACCCCAGAGAGTACTGCATTTCCCGGGTAACGTTGCTTATCTCCCTGCAACTCCTTCGCCTTTTACCTTTTTTTCGGGAACTCATCATCTAAAACAAAATGGCAAAGGCCTCCTCCTCCACCACTGTACAAGCCAAAACCACCATTTGTTAAGTTCCCCTACAAGTCAAGCTACTTTTGGCCAGAAAACCTGGCTTTAGGAATAAGTTTTTGATGACTTGCAAGCCAGCTGCAGCTGCAATCAATGCTGTTCGACAGAGTCACATTGAATGTACATATTAGATGGCAGCAGCACCTCATTTGTCATGATTTTACATTGGCAACGAATTCAAAAGGGAGTTAAAACCCTCTTAGTTCTCAAAATTGCTGTCTTCTTATCTCATCCATGAACACATCTCCATCATCCGGCTCCCTTCTTTGCAGAGGACGGCCAAGGTCATACACACGCATAAACCCCTGTATAATGGACACATTCTTCACCGGTATGGCAGATTGAAACAGAATGCTTCTTGGTACTAAAACCTTTTGGAGGAATGCAATTTTTTTCAGACTGAGTGCTCTAGCAGCAGTGGATGCTCATGTCTGCGTTTATATGTAACCGTCTTTTAGTGTGTGCGCGCAAACATGCATGCGTGGCCTTGCCGGTGAACTTGGCTGCCCTCTCCACAGCCTTCCCCATATCCATCCTCTCATATGGACTCTGACTGTGGTCAATCATATGAAATAACTGCTGCTCCCTCAACCAACACACTGAAAGATCCTCCCTCAAGTACACACACACACACACACACACACACACACACACACACACACACACACACACACACACACACACACACTGCTGATAGTCAGTAGCAATTTGCGGAGACTGAAGCACAGGGAAAGTCCATTATGTTAGTGAGCATGATTAATGAGCTAATACCATGTCTCATATGTGTGTGTTTTTTTGGAGGGGGGCGAATGTTAACTGAGATGATGCTAAGCTCGATTAAGGAGGGTGGTAGACTAGTCAGCACTGTAAAGAAAGATAAAGCGTGAGGACAGCGTCCTTTCATTGGGGAGGGGAAACCTACATCCCTGGTCTTTGTTTTCTAAACCAGTTTATACTGTTTGTAATGACTCAGCACGACAACTTTACATTACAGGTCATTTAGCAGACATTTTTATCCAAAGCGACTTACATTTCATACACTTTAAACCCATGGCTTTTTCACATTTTTCCCAGGGAGCAATTAGGGGTTAGGTGTCTTGCTTAGGAACATTTCGACTTGAGACATGGGGCAGTCGGGACTCGAACCACCAACCTTGCGGTTCCCAGCACACCCGCTCTACCTTCTGCACCACGTTACAGTGTGTAGGCTTGGCCACATAGGAGTCCTCTCCATTTGAATCCAGTTAATATTGTATATTTCTGACACAATCAAATGTGGTTACTTGACTTCCGTCATCTTATTTTTTCTCATCAAATCGGGATACATGGAAAACGTCTTATAATATCTTTCCACATTGTTGAACTTAGATATGTTCACACTAAATGCTCCTTTTTGTGTCTTATGACCCTTGGTTCTGGGCAAAATGTTTGCCTGTTTTTGCAACCACTGGTGACTTTGAAAGAAGCTCACATTTACATCGCTGGTTGAATCGTCTGTATTTGTGTGCTAAAATTTCTGATTTGCTTTCTGTGCTCTTTTCTTTGCAGCAAGACGATAAGTCAAGCAAAGAAGTGATTCTGGACGATGCCGAGTGTCCACTGCAGATCTTCAGGGACTGGCCTGCTGACAGAGGTCACTTACATGCACATGCTTTGCAACCTCAAATTCTTATGAGTGTGCCTTTCCCAGACTCTTCTCTTGCTCTCCTCCCGCATGCTATTGCCCCCTTGTGCTGCCTCACGGCCATTACACCTGTTAGTGGCTCCTCACCCCATGCTGACATGCTGAAGCTTTTATTATGTGGTTTATCAGGAGCGCTGGTGTTCCAGCTGAAGAAGAGGCCTCCAGACTACCAGGGGAGGAAGGGAAGGAAAGTGGACGACCACGGCCTGCAAGGCAGCACCAGCTCACTGCCGCCAGAGAAACTGCCTTACCTGGTGGAGCTGAGCCCAGGTAGAAGTGCAACACACACCACCCTAATGTCCGAGACGGTCTAGGTCGCTACTCGCATGAGCACTGCAGCAGATAACATTCAGGGTTACTCAAAGGTTAAATCGCATGTGTGCTGTGGTTTCTGTTCTTGCCACCACAGGATTTCCTCACTGTATAAAAGCCACAGCAGGGGGCCACAGTATATATTGGAAGCAGCTCTTGGAATTGGGTCAAATTACCTTTAGATGATGGAGTATGCTGCCGCTGCTTCACTTTACCATCAACACCCCAAATCAGCTGCGGCTGTATAGAATGAAAATAAAGAGTTCAGCGGAGTTTAAATGTCTGTGCTTTACAAATCCTCCACCAAAAGGGTAATTGTAGTGACCCAGTTTAACAATATGAATATGCCAAAGTATTAAAAAAAAGTTCCTCTGAAGGCTGAGGTGCTTTGTTTTTTTTATTTGTATCCTGTGACCTTGTTTCTTTCTGAGATATATACCTCCTGTCCCTACATGGAAAACTGCACAATCACGTTTTGTGCAGTTCAACACGCATACGGCCACAAATCATATGAAAATGTATTTATCCAAATTATTTTAGATAAACGACTCTGTACTTCTTATACTTTCCTATCTTTTCCTTCCTTTATGGATTCATCTATTTTTCCACTGTAATAGTCGTGTAGAATAAAGGGATTTTGATAAGAAATCCCCATTCAAGTTTAGATGTTACAGTGATATTAACACAAACATCAGGTCATGTCCTAATTATACTCTCTCACATCCTGTAAGAAATGGAGGTATATCAATGCCTGGATCAGACTGGGTAGGTTGAGAGGCTTTGGAGTACAACAAAAGGTGACTTGCAACAATAAAACTGCTGGAATGCAGTGAGGAAATGACTAGTGCTTACACAAACACCCACGCCTACCAGGGCACCTTGGGAAACTACCCCCTGACCTTGCTAAGTATGACCAGCCCTAACGGCTTGTTTCCCGCTACTGATCCCTCTCTCTTGAGCTCCCTCCTCATGTGTCTCATGCGTTATGTCATTAACTTATCCGGAGCTTCTTCTCAGCAGTAAACTGTAGTGCTGAGACCGTACTCTGGTCCACGATGTCCCAACACATCTACTACATTCCCTTTGATAGGGGTCCCAGTCTGTGGAAAAGATGGGAAATTGCTTTGGTGGTTCTTCTAATATGATTGGTTCTGAGACTGTGTGTGTGTGTGTGTGTGTGTGTGTGTGTGTGTGTGTGTGTGTGTGTGTGTGTGTGTGTGTGTGTGTGTGTGTGTGTGTGTGTGTGTGTGGGGTCCCTCCATCCTTGATGACCAATTTTGATGATAGGTGTGGCTTTGATAAGTGTGTGAATGCCTCCATCCAATTAACTGGTTAACAAGGTAATGCTGCATTTTTCCTCCTTGCTGCATTTTCACCCTCTGCTATGTGTCTGTTTTCTTCCCCACCTTTTTATGGCATGGTGTTTGTGTGTGTGTGTGCGTGCGTGCGCGCGCGTGTGTGTGTGTGTGTGTGTGTGTGTGTGTGGTGTCTTGCGCATGTGTCCTTCTACCTGCGTGCCTGTTTGCCTAGGCCGAGGGAATCACTATGCCTACTACGCCTATCGGCACCACGAAGGTAAAATAATTCCACCACACCTCCTCTGTGTCTGTTGCAATGGCTGATCGGATTGTTAGGAGGGGGTGCAATAATCCCTTTTTCCCTGCTTAAGCATCCTCTTGGTTCCCCGGACAAAAGGCCACGATTTTTTGGGAGGGATTTTTTATTATTTTGAAACGAGCTCCGTCGCGAAGCAGAAGACTCTTCACAAATGTACTTTAATGATTATGTTTTAAGTATGAAGACAAACGCCAGTTGGCAAGTGCCAAGCTAACGGTAGGCTGTAAGAGAGCTGCACCAATTCACAGGATATAGCTGCTCGGCAACCACCTTATGAGGATGTGGATATGACATCAAATTAAAAATATTAACTACATATTTTCATTATCAAAATCTTTTTACAATTTGACGCTTCATATGCACACATGTTATTGTCATTTTTACTGAGACATATAACATAGCATTTTCTCAGAGTAACATCAAATGCTTTTAAGACACGATGTAGAAAACCAAAAATGACGCAGCAATTTTGGAGTAGTAAAGTAGTAGTAGAACTTGGAGCCCATTGTTATTGAACCTGATTTCACGGCGGTCTGTCGTAGATACATTGTAACCATAACGGATGTGATCATGCAGCCCGCTTCCTAATGAACCTCATTCGATGGAAGTAGAAGCTAGGCTGTCCTGGTAGCCTTGTTACATTTTCTTTTGGATTATTTTTATAGTTTGTTCTGAGGTTTTCATGGTCTTTTATCAGCGCAGCCAATCTTTCCCCTTTTTTTCTGGTGAACTAATATGCCGCTTTGCTTTTAACTAAACTCCTGTTTACTAATAATCAATAACCTAACCAGCCACCCACCGTTTTATTTTTGTCACGTTGTACCCGCTGTACTCCTGTCAACTGTGTGGGGACAGTTGATAAGCAATATGAGTGAGCAGACGCCCGGTGCTAAATGTGAGTGTTTGGATGTGTTTGTGTGCGCGTCTAGACGGGTCCGACTCCCGCGACAAACCAAAGCTCTACCGGCTTCAGCAAAGCGTCACCGAGGTCGGCTCGGACTGCACGGAGGACGGAGCCATCCAGGTAACTACGTCACAAAAACGCTGATGTTGAGTCAATGTCAGTGAATGTATGTGTTCAAATTCAGATTTTATGTATAACAGCAAATCATCGAGATTTGCGGACTGCTGGAGATCTACTGGACATGAATCATACGGGTTTAGCTGAGATTATCTATGTATTTTATGACTTTCATCTGCTTGACAAAAGGGCTCTTATTTGCCCCTCCAGTCTTTGAAAAATCCCCTCCTTCTTTCCCCCACCCCAGAAGGCACATGGGTAAGACAACCAAACAACAAACGCCCCACTTTTGACCCATAAAAGGAAACTTTAGATCCCTGTGCAACTCTCACATGGCTCCAACATCATAACATGGAGTCATGTGTAGATTAACATAGAGGAGCCAAACTGATTTCAGTGCCCACACTAATCAAATTACAGTACTAAAAAAGTCATGCTTTCTCAGGAGAAATCAAACTTAGCTGAATTCTGTTTGAATATCTTTTTGGGAAGCACAGAACTACATTTCATAGGATTTCTTGGGTAAACTCATTTAGAATCTTAACTTACATTTAAAAAAAAAAAAGCAATTAGGATGCACTGCAACAGCTCACAGAACACCTGTTGTAATGCGCAAGCTGCTTTGTGGTGACCCGCTTGCCCTTGTTTGCCTCCAGCTGCTCGGCCCGGGGATCCTGCCCCACCACTGCAACCTCATGCACAGCGAGGGCATGGTGACCGTGACGCCTCACGGCCCAGACGCCGACACCTTCGTGGACGGGCAGCGACTCAACGAGACCACGGTGCTGCGTTCGGGCTCCACCCTCCAGTTCGGCTCAGTGCACGTCTTTAAGTTCGTGGACCCGATGTTCGACCAGGGCGGGAAGAGAGAGACGGCCGCCATGATGAGGAGCCGACACAAGTCCGGGTGAGGAGGCGTTCGGCGCTTAACGCACCGTTCATTCCCCCACTATTCCAGAGGAGAGGGTGTTGTTGTAGATGAAGGGAGGAGTAGATGCGGTTTGGGAGTTGGCGGGCCGAGCGAGGTAGATGAAGGGGAAGGAAAAGGGGGAGGAGGGAAGCCTCTGGGTTGCACCGGTGGGGATAATGAGGAAATGAGAGGAAGAGCGGAGGTCTGGGGTTATGGCAAGCGGGCTGCCATCTAATCCGAACTACATGGCGCAGGGTGTGGCCTCCCTCCCGCTCGCTGTCGGTACACACACTTGACAGGAGAAAGGAAGGGGGAGCACACCCGATAAGAGGAGAAGGGAGTATGTGAGCCGGCTGACGATGAGGAAAAGACCAGAATAAAAGGTTTTGAACTGGAATTGAATGGCTTCTAATGACTCAATGGATGACTGAGAGCAGGCGAAAGAGAGGTGTGAGCGCTGTAAGTAACTGACGCCTTAACTCACCGCTCTGTGCGGCTCTGCATGAATGGCTTCTTTCAAAGGAGTAGAAGTATTTTGGTTTCTCTTGTATAGCGTGTGTCCTGGTTTCTTTTAAGGATTTTGAGATCTACGGTGGAACTTTTCTCAAGTGTTGTTTGTTTAAATTCAATGGCAGATTGTAGAGCGGCTTTTCTGTACCGGGGAGCGATACCTATTTTAAACTCTGAAGTGGACCAAAAAGGTACAAAACTGTCAAATTGATTTGGTTAATATACCAGTAATGAGTGTGAGTGTGAGTGTGTGTGTGTGTGTGTGTGTGTGTGTGTGTGTGTGTGTGTGTGTGTGATAAATGTCCCCTTGGTGGCGATAAACCGACAGATAACAATGACTCTCTGTACGCTCACGGTCAGGTCAGAGTAGCAGCGTCGTATCGTCTCTCGGGTCTTTCCATCTTTGCTGGTGGCCCACATCTTTTCTGCTTGTGGCCTTTCAGCAGCCACTGGCATCTGTTTCCATTCCCGCCGGCACAGAGCGAATGTAAGATGATGTGGGTTACTCGTGGCTAAGATCTGGCTGCTAAAGGGCAAGATATTGCCTCCGGGAGTTAATCATTAGATTAATGTGTAAATACAGTGATGACACAGCGACCGCCGCATCTTGATAAACTGGCAATGCCCGTGTTTACAGCTGGTTTGATCTGATTCTTCAATAATGCCCAATTGTACATTAATCAGACCACCTAACCAGCCTTCTCAGGGTCAAATGGTATACTCAACAACTGTGTAGCTTTTCTTACTCTCATCTTCATTTTTGAAGTTAAAGAAACTTTAGTGTACTCTGTGGAGTAACACTGTCTGTCGCTTTGAGCAGTGTCACCTCAGTCTGGAGTAAAAGCCTGAATTGCTGGAAGTGGATCCTTGTGGTTGTCTGGGCTACTTTGCAATGTTCTGCTGTACAAACTTACACCGATACCTCGTTCATTTGAGCAGGAGACTCATCACAATGTTTGGAGCGATTAGAGATGCAATTTGTCTGAAAAGGCCCAATTTATTTTTGTGAGCACACAGCTATTTGGCATCGGAAGTCTGGCAAGAAACATAATCTGTAGAGATGCTCCGATCAGGTTTTTTGGTGCCGATCACCGATCACTGAAATCAGTATCTGCCGATCCGATAATACCGATCACGGTGTCAATTTAAGCATTCTATTTATTGTGTAGCATTATTTATGAAATGAATTATTCTTAAGAACATTGGTTTTGTATTTTAAGTATTTAAATTACGAGACGAGAGAGTATCATGAATTGACAACCATCCGTTTTATTGCAGGGAACGTGCAACATTCCAATGTAGAAAAGCTCTCTCGCTTACTATAAAATGTGTAAATAATAATCAATATTAAAACAATAATAAAAATATAAATCTTTAAATGAAAATCACAACAATAGAATAACATGTGCAACATTCCACTCTCTAGAGGCTCTCAATAGAACTTGGAGCTTATAGGAGCTAACAGACAGAATAAAGATTAAAGGTGCACAGGAAGTCAGCAATTAAACAAAACATGTATATCTATCTGTATAGTGTCTCACTCACTCACATACTTCACTCACTCAACTCACTCGGAGAGGGGGCATACTAGAGTATTCAAACCTTACTTCTGATTAAGCAGCATCACTGGCAGATTTGCCTTGATAAATATAAGCATCTCAGCATTTTTAGGAGTCAACCTGTTCCTCTTCTCATCTAAAATATGTCCTGCTGTGCTGAAAAGTCGCTCGCTATCTACACTTGTACAAGGTGCGGAGAGGACGACTCGTGCTGCTAAACTGCGCAGTTAGGCTCAGCATAGACACAGGACAGACACTCGAACTCCAAATGTCACTCGTGAAGCTAACTGCCCTGATGTTGTCCTTCATAAGGCTCTCGATGTGCGTGTAGACATTTCGGTATAATTCCGGCAGACAAACGTCAGTTAGGTATTTTCGGCCCGGCAGCGTATAGCGTGGATCCAAGCAGGATACAAGGCGTTTGAACCCGGCGTCTTCCACAACAGACAGTGGCTGCTGATCAAGGCATATGAATTCCATTACCTTTGCATTTAATTCCTTTCGTCTCTTGTTGTCATTGCTGTATGGTTGCTGTCGTTTCAATGTCTCTGTTACGGTCAGCTGAGTGAGTGGCGTTTGGGAAGAGGTTGCACGCTCTTTGTCTTTATCTGCCTTAACGCTCGCCAACTTCGTAAACTCCTCAAATTCCTTGATGTGACAAGCTTTCAAATGCCGTATGAGGTTCGTGGTGTTGAAACCCCTTTGACGCGTTCCTCAACGGGGAACTACTTTTGAGCAGACGTTGCAAACTGCAAATTTATTATCTTTTTCCGACACCTTGTAATATTGCCAGACCGGCGAAGCCATTTGATCGGCCAAATTTGATCGGCCGTTTTGAGAACGCCGATCAAAACCGATAATGGCAATATCGGCCGATATGGATCGGCGCCGATCAGATCGGAGCATCTCTAATAATCTGCCACCACGTTGCCAACGCCGCCTTATCTAAGAATCAAAAATATTTTAGAGTAAACCCAAAATAAATGTATTCTGCATACGTGGTTTGATATGGACACATTTTTCCATCCAGCAATGAGCATGGGCAAGCTTTTAATGGTTTAACGTGCTGCGGCTGCATGTGGTCATTGTGCATAGCATGAAGGCGCCCCACACACACGGCTTGTGTGTTTGTGCGTGTTGGTATTTATTTGACATTGATGCCCTCCTGACATGTGGGGCATGAAAAGCCCTAGCCTGTCTTTTGAACCCGCCTGCTGTCACACTTAATTACTGTCACTTAAACGCACACCGATACGCGCACACACTCATTGTACTGGCTAGTTAGCATTGCTGATCAGGCCTCTCTATATCTAATTAGACACTTATTATGCGTAAGTATTTAAAAAGCAAAATGTATCCATCCGCACGTATCAGTGAGTCATTTTCTGCATCTCTGGTCCCACTCTCTCCTCCCAGACGAAGATATGATTTTGTGTGTGGATCAAGTCTGAGCTTTTGTCGTCGTTAATGAAAGGCTGATGTGGAGCATAGCTCCTCCTCTAAACCGCTGCATGTCTGTTTTCTTTGCTGCAGCAGTGTACCCGAAACAACCTTCGACCTTCAGGGAGACGTCCACAGTGGAGCTCCGCTGCCCACCAGCAAGGTAACACACAGATGTTAATCTATAATTTACTAATTTACTCCTGTGTCATACAAAATAGTAATTCAAGAATGACAAATCTGGTAATGTATAATGATTTACTATATTGACTAATATTTACTATATTGACTAATATAGTAAATCATATAATACAATACAACGCTGATTACTACCTTGATTAATTACTTTGTTTGTCGAGCAAATGCCTGCTTTATCCAACGGTCAAAGCCCCCAAAAGAGAAGTAGATAATCATCTTTACATTTCTGATGCAATGTTTGACCGATTTGACTACCAAAAATGTTGAAGTGAAATGATGATTTATTGGCTGACTGTAGTTCCTAGCATGTATATCTAAAATGAAATCATTGATGACGTATTCAATACCTGTCAATTGGCAGCAACACTTGAATATATATAAAATAGCTTTTAACATATTGCAATCATACCATTTTGGAAAACCAAGAAACTGAAAATAGCCTTCTTTGCATGTTGTGTAAGCTTCTTGTTAGTAGTTTTCATAACACACAAGTCTTCTCCATTTGTACATTGGTGTGTGTGTGTGCGCGCGTGTGCGTGTAGAGCTCAGGGGAGATGGAGCGCGGCATGGTCAAACCCATGATCAGAGGAGAGCAGCAGGACAACAGGTAAGACCCTCATCTTTATTCTTTCTCCAGTCCTCTGCTCCTCAATCCTGCTAACTGATGGTTCCCTTTCTCATGGCGCTGTTCTGTCTCATCAGGTCTCAGGACGCGTCAGTCGACAGAACCGAGCTGATTCTGCCAGCCGGCATCGAGTTCAGAGACAACTGTAAGTACTTGTGTGCCCTTTTCTGCTCTGAAAAAGTCAATGGCTGGAAACTATTGAACTCTATTTACAATGCATTGGACTTATTCTGCTAAACCTGTCAATGTCTCATGCAAGTATATTGATAGGGTGAATTTAAGAATATATGTTGGGCATTGTGATCTTCTGGACCTTTGCTTGTTGAAAGTTTCTCTAACTGGACCTCTTTACATTTTAGTTGGGTACCCCTGGCCTAAAGGCTATGTTTCCTGCAATTACACCTAGAAAAACACAGTCAATATTTGTATGTTTAAATGTGATAAATTGAGCACTTTGAGTAAGAATAAACTAAATACTTAGTTTGACAGTTGCTTGTTTTCAGGAGAGCTGATTTGGAGTTAAAACACTAGAGTCAACGTTTCTTGTTTGGGCTGCAGTCCCACCGAATCAGTCCCTGTGACAGCGTCACTTGAATAAGCCACTTGTATGACCTCACCGCTGGTTGTGCACCGCTTGCCAGGAGTGATGGACTGTTTGCTGTGTCTGATTAAAAACACATTTACTTTTACTAACTAAACAGGATGCGAGGCCTATTCAAAACTATGGAGATTGAGGGACAAAGAGAAGGACCTATTATAATTATTATATTTGTTGGCAATATTATTGTACCATACTGAGAAACTATATGGCTAAACATTTGGAGAAGGCAGATTTATAATACAATGCCAATACAATCCTTTCATACTAAGCAGCTGATCCTTTGTGGCAACATGAAATATGTTTTACTTTGCTAAAATGAATGGTATCTAGAATAAAAACATGGAAGATGTATTGAAAAACAAAATAGTTAAAAGATTAAGTACCTTGCCTTGCAGAGGAAGCACGCTATTTGAAAGATTGTAAAGGCCTAAACGGTCGTGCAGGAAGCACACTCTTTGTAGGAGAATGCAAGTGGTCTCACGGCCTGGTCCTCTCTGTGTCCATCCAGCTGAAGACACCTTCCTGTCAGCCATTATCAACTACACCAACAGCTCCACGGTCCACTTCAAGCTCTCCCCCACCTACGTCCTGTACATGGCCTGCCGCTACGTCCTTTCGCCTTCTTACCGGCCCGATATGTCGCCGTCCGAGAGGACGCACAAAGTCATTGCCATCGTCAACAAGATGGTGAGCATGATGGAGGGAGTCATTCAGGTCAGTACCACCACTTTTCACGTCCTTTTTCTGTGTATGTGTGTTTGTGTGTGCTGTGATATTTGAAGATAATGGAATGTATTATGAATTTTGCATTAACTCAGCGTGTTCTGCTCCTTAATAACACTACATGTATTTCACGCTCTTTTGTTGACATTTAGTGGGTTTCATTCCCCCAATTCACTGTTACTACTACAACTGCTTGAGTAGTTGTGTAAGGCGTTTGTGTTTGCATGTTTCCTTTACTTTCTCTGCACCGTTATCTCTGTTGCACCAGTCTGTGCAGTTTTAAATGCTCGGGATGCGAATCCTGCCACGGAGCAACATGGTGTATGCTGAACTTCAGTTAGCACGGCGCTATCCCTGACCATTATTGCTGGGAACAAAAACATCTAAAAGCTTTGATACTTGTGCCAAGTTATTAGCCAGCACATGTTTATACCCTTTAGAAGAAGATAAAATGTTACAAATACGCACTTCTGTAAAGAGATGCTATAAATCTAACAGCATGTAATGTAACAGTACAATGTTGACTTCAAAAATGTAGGGGAGCCAAAGTATTCATAGCATTAAATGGAAAAGTCTAAAGGGAATTCCCAAACACAAGTCTTGAGTATTCGTAAATGTCAATCGTTCTTGTATTAGTGCCATGCACTTTGATTTGTTTAGCTGCAGCCAGTTACTCATTAGCGCTGGTATGCAGTGAAGTCATGAAAGCAAACTGAGTAGATGAATCTATTTATGTCTGTATGTAGCAGGATTTCACCTTGGAAGTATTCTTAGCGTGTGAGGAATACGGGAATGTTAAAACCTTCTTTTAAAACGGGGTGATTTTTGAGCTTTCCCTGGGATGCCGAGAACTAAATCTTGAATTTTTGAATGATTGTGACCAGCTTGAGTGTGTGTGATGTGCTGGAGACTCATGATCGTGCTTTACATCCACCTAAAATGTCCCCCTTAAAGGCTTGCACGCAGTGTTTTGCTGTGTTTAATGTCCACAGCTTGAATTTATTTTTGTATTGGTCACACTTTCTTGTAATTACGTGTTCTGTTGAAATGTTAGTTTTTTTCGATTGCTAAACGACAGCGGGCCCAACTGGAGTCACATGTGCAAAACTCTAACTACAGTCTGCAGAACCAACAGTCACCTGAACTAATCAGTTCACATCACCTGCAAAACTCACTCCAAGCAACACAACTCTTAACACATGACTCAAAACAGGCTCAGTGCAGCCAACACTGCACAAGCCTCGCTGAGAGAACACACACTGTCACTCAGAACACACTGAGAGTAAAAACACCAGCATCAAACACCAATACAGAAAATACTAACTGTTCATCTTTACACTTTGAACCATTTCAGTGACTTCATACAAAGTAAGATTTTCTTCAAAGAAAAGTGACATTCTTTCACATGATTTATTAATTTTTTTTAGAACATAACAATTCTTTAAGGTAAATGAAAATTAGCCGTTTGCTTCAAGTCTGTAGTAATTTATGGAATTACAGTAATGAGAAAAAAAGGTAGAAACTAAAAGTACACACTGTAATTCAAACAAATAATTGAAGGACTGATCCTACCTCTCTAGCATCAGGCCACAGGTTTCCATCACCATCGCATCTAATGTTGTCTCTTGCCATGCACCTGGGAAAGAACCTTCTGGAGGTCCTCATCCATCCCTGGCAGTCCTCTGGACTCGTGTCCTCACATCCGGCTTCCAAAAGAGACATTTGGTCACGCTGTTGTTTAGCAATCGAAAAAAACTGTAATAACTTTACATAAGGATTTATTTTTCCCTTCACACTTTTTTTAGGTTGCTCATTTATGCACCTTCACACTGGTTGGATTCCTGTTTACATTTGGCTTGTTTGTGTTTTTACTTGCACCTTCAAATCTGAGGCTCCAGTTCTTAAAAGCAATTATGATTCAGTTTCATAATAATTCATGATATTGTTTAGCAATCTTTGTAAAAGAATGTCAGGGTTGTTGTTTCTGACCCATTTTTACCCATGATTACTTTCACTCTAGGAAAGGGATAGTAAAAATTTCACCACCTATTCTTAATGTCAGAGGCCTTTTCCAACAGCGCGCCGATCTACCATCTCTATGCACTCTTCATTGGACTCCATTGACAAAAACAATAATTTCTCACTTCAGAAGACAAAATATTCCTACGCTGCATTGTTCGGTTAGTTAGTTAATGTTGCTGGAAGTTTTTTTGCCTTTTTCGAGGATTAGTTTGGATTAAATAAAGGAGTCCAATGACTGAGAACCAGGTAAAAGCGGTGAAAATATTGTAAACAACTGAACTGATATAAGTACCTCATACAACCCCACCTCAAAAAGATCTTAACTATCTCTTTAAACGGACATCAAAGAGATCTTTTAAAAGCTTTAAACAAAATTTGGTAGATTTAACTAATACCCCGTGTGATGTTTTCTTGACCAGATGTGGTTTTCATCTGACCTCCCCCAGTTATTTTCTATAACTGATTCCAGATGTCTTCACATTGTAAAACATAACCATGTCACAGAGTGTGTGTGTGGGTGTGTGTATATATATATATATATATATGTATATATATATATATGTATGTGTGTGTGTGTGTGTGTGTGTGTGTGTGTGTGTGTGTGTGTGTGTGTGTGTGTGTGTGTGTGAACATAACTGTGTCCATACAGTAGCTGTTGACGGGGTTTTCTCTTTGTCTTGTGAACGTGTCCTCCTCCTCTTCCTCCTCTTCCTTCCATCCAGGAGATTCCTGAAGGGGATCAGGTAGGACAGCACACCATGATACGGCTGCTACAGACTCGTCTACCTCCCTCTCCCTCTTTCTCTTCCTCTCTGTGTGGGCGACATGGATAAAACATCTCAAGCTCGATGTGTCTCGATGTTTCATGTAGCTTTAAATCTGAAACCCAGCTGGTAAATGTTGGAACTCAATTCTCTGCCTTTAAAGAAACTCTATGGATATCCTGTTCAACTCAGCAGTTTACAAAGACAATTACATAGTGAGACAGTTATGGAATAGTGACTTGAGCTTTTCCTGTCCTCTAGGCCAGTGGAATGGGCCACCATAATAAAAAATGAAGTGAAAAAGGATTTTACTTTTGGCTTAGAAAAGGAACTATTGTAGACAGCTAGCGGTTAATTTTGGACATTTTCTAAACTGTTCATTGATATATCCCAAATTATATTAGGAATGTTCATTTATTGTAAGAAACGTATAAATTACTGCTTTATATGTAGATTTAAAATGCAAATGTGACTTGTAATGTTACCCAAAGGCAATACATCTTTAAAGCAGGCATCATTCATGGCATAATGAGAATTCCATTCTTTTTGTGTATTATATCCTTGAACGCTTGAATGCTGGACAATTACCATTTTGTTACGTTTGCTTTCATGCAATTTACACCTCACACTTTGACTCCCACGAAGATCGCTGGTGACATGGGTCGAGTTTCATCAGCGCAAATTACTGACGTTTCTTTGAAGGCAAACCAGGTACCATGTTGAGGATTTCAAATGTCAAATCATGTCGCCCAACTACATCAACCTCTTGGCTCTTCTTTGAATCTCTGCCTCCCTACTCCATTTCAACTTTTTTACCCGTTTCTGCTTTTTTGACCAGCCCTTCATTGTTGCTGCTGCTTCTTTTTCTCCATTTAACAGAAATGAAAAATAAAGCCATAATAGTGCGTCCTCCCAAAGCTGGAAAACTAAGCAACAACAGCAACATCCACCCAACTAATTCTATTCAGCCTCCCGGACCTGCCTGGTACTAAAAAACAAAAAACAAACAAACCAAAAAAACAGCAAAACCAAAGCAACCACCCCTTTCCACCGTTGCTCCACCTTTAATTCTGTCATCCATCTTGTGTGACATCACGTCTTGCTTCTACTACTCAGCAGTGTGGATGAGAGACGAGTCGCGTCCCTCTGACCTCCTCCACCCCCTCTGCTTCATTTGTTTAACATATATTCAACCACCTTTCCATGTTTGAAGTGTTTCCCAAATGTTTTGTTGTCACGTCTTGTTTTTGATGCATTTCGCTCCATCTCTCTTTCTTTGGCTGTTTTGAATGTAGTGTTTTAAATTTGTTTTGTCTTTTATCTGTTTTGTTTGAGCTTCCCACAATCCTCCCTCTCTGAGTGGAGTGGGTATTAACATCAACCAATCGGCCCCTCTCACTCAGAGCTCTGTTCTCCCTGAGGATCTCAGGACCAGGAAACAAACTCCTGCAGAGTCTCTTTTGTTATTTACAAATAGACCAAAGTCTGTCTAAATTTGCTTAATTTATTTCAATTAAGAAGTTGCTTCTGCCAGCTACGTAATAGTCCGTAGAGATACAATGTCTTAATTAGACTACTTTAAATCAAAATATATTAATATCAATTGCAACAATAGAAAGATGTTGTAAATGTAGTTTAAAGTCTGACTTGTTGACCACAAAAACGTCATTGTCATTCTGATATACTGGCAACTTATGCACTTCTAATCATTTTGATTCTGTTGCTCGCATTTCTTCCTTTGTGTAAGTCTACGGTCCAAACACGCAGTTTTATCTAAAAGAAACAACCGGTTAGTTGAGGAGGCTCGTGTCTGGTGATCTGCTAAACGGAGTGTGTGTCTGCGGGGAAAAAACGAGTGGTCGCTAATGTCTCAAAGTCATAAAGGAAAAATAATTTTTGTGCTCACATTCAAACATTAAAGTCTTCAAGAATCAAAGAGTGTTTAATTGAGCACCGTCTTTTGAGTGACAGTGATGACCACTCTTCCTCTCAGCACCTGGTTGGCTTACAGGGAGGTGTGTGCGTGGCATGAGTCTATCCGTGAGGTAACGACTGTGCCTTCTGGCTGCCACTCTTCATCCTTGTGTTTTCTTTGTGTGTGTGTGTGTGTGTGTGTGTGTGTGTGTGTGTGTGTGTGTGTGTGTGTGTGTGTGTTTGTGTTTGTGTGTGTGTGACGTTACAGAAGCAGAAGAACATCGCCGGAGCGCTGGCTTTCTGGATGGCCAACGCTTCGGAGCTGCTTAACTTTGTCAAGCAGGACCGAGACCTGAGTCGCGTCACGCTGGACGCTCAGGACGTCCTCGCCCATCTGGTCCAGATGGCATTCAAGTCAGTTTGTGTGTGCGCGTGCGAATCCTGAATGTCGTGGAATGTGTCAGATGTGTATTATAGACGGGGACAGGGAGGGAGTTTGGTCAGTTCTCTGTTGAGTTCAAGAATTATGAGTCTGTGTTGGAGTACTTCAACAGGAATATGTTGAAAATGAGAAAACACCTGCACATCTGGTTCGCAGCTCTTTTTTTATTTCTGCCTGGACAGCTAGATGTGAGGTTGTGAACACAACGTGCATATTTACAGTACATCTACACAGGAATCTGAGAATGCATTAGTCTCATTATAACCATGTCTGTTTGAAATTTTAATTTCTTTAAAGTTCCCGATTAGTAGCGTAGAAACACAGAACAAAATGTAAATATACATTTGTATATATTGGCTCATTTTATTCTTCCAAAAAAATAATAAAGAAATCCCAAACTCCTTCAAAACCAGAAAACCTTAGGTTGAAATTGCTGTATTCATGTTTAATAAAAGAACTGGAATCAAAGATCAGTGTACAGGTAGTTATTCTGATTTTCCTTACAACAAAAGTTCTTAAACAATTTGAAAGGTTATGTTTAACCGCCCTTAAAGACATACAACTAAAGAAGATCTTCTATATTGTTTATTGGTGGAGTCTTGTCTCTCACACGCTGTACTGTGCATGCAGATACCTGGTCCACTGTCTCCAGGCTGATCTGAACAACTACATGCCGGCCTTCGTAGACGATCCCGAGGAACACAATCCACAGAGACCCAAGATTGGTAAGACACAAACACACGGAGTGGTCCCCTACAGTTGTGATCCTTGCCCCCATCGATTGAAGCAGTGGTTGTTTATGTTTGAGCTCTAAGCAGAATCATTTTTTGAAGGCCTGAAGAAGTCAACCTATCAAGTATTTCACAGCAAAAACAAAATTTGAGATAAGTCTGATGAAGAACTGTTGTTGTTTTTGTGTTGCGTCCTTATAGAAAGTTTACCTCCATTCGCAGGATTCCTCCTTGGCCTTCTTTCAGTCAACTTAACATGTATCAGTCAATTTAACATGTTTTTTTAATTTGTAGTCTGACCAGCGGTCTGAGTTTTGGTCAGGATGTCAGTGACTTTTAGACTACGGAGACAGCAAACACACACACACACACACACACACTGATATAGTCCGCCTTTTTCTAAGATTACAAAAATACGCCGATTCTTAGTTTCAGGTAACGAGACACTGATTAAAACAGTTATTTTTTGCCATTTAATCCTCGGTGTTCCACGTTATTCCCTTTAATCCTCCTAATCACAGTTAAACACAGCTATCCGTAGCCTCCCAATGTGAATGTAACTGCTATTAGTCACTGAGCCGTATCTGATGCCTCCTCCCAGAGGACGTCCTGCACACGCTGACGGGAGCGATGTCGCTGCTGCGCCGCTGTCGAGTCAACGCCGCGCTGACCATCCAGCTCTTCTCGCAACTCTTCCACTTCATCAACATGTGGCTCTTCAACAAGCTGGTGACGGACACCGACTCGGGTCTGTGCTGTCACTACTGGGGGGCCATCCTCCGGCAGCAGCTCAGCCACATCGAGGCCTGGGCAGAGAAACAGGGCCTGGAGCTCGCCGCCGACTGCCACCTCAGTCGAATTGTTCAGGTACGTGGCGACACAAGCAGGCGGTCAGACTGAAAGCACTTTGTATTATTCACAAGTTTCTTCATCTGGTTTGTATGCTATTTAGTGAATTAGTTCCCCTTTTATTTGCTCTCCAGGACACCAGATCCTTAATTCTTTACTGTTTTTTCAGTGGCAGTTAAGCTCATGCTCGGCTGGCCACTTCAAAAGCAAAAGAAAATAAAGACATATGAAGTTAATTTAGTTGTAAGGAGTAAGATGGTAGTAGAGATGGTAAAGTGTCCATCTATTACACATCTTAAGAAGCTTTGAAATATACAGACAACATGAATATACAATTGAAGGAATGTAGCCCGTTGACATTCTCTTCTGTGTGTCCCCCAGGCCACCACCCTGCTGACCATGGACAAATACTCCATGCAGGATGTGAAGAACATCCACAACACCTGCTTCAAGCTCAACTCCCTGCAGCTCCACGCTCTCATGACCAACTACCACTGTGCTCCGGACGAGCCTTACATCCCGCCTGTAAGCCAAAAAAAGCACACAAGCACAATACAGAGCATTTGTGATTCATGACCAGCTCTATGTAGGTCAAGTCAGCTGTTTCACATGTCAAAAATAGCCAATAGAGTTGACGAAAGATCCTGTTGACCTGGCTTTGTGCGTTTGTGCTCAGGAGCTGATAGACCACGTGGTGGCGGTGGCAGAGAACACGGCAGATGAGCTGGCGAGGAGTGACGGGAGAGAGGTGCAGCTGCAGGAGGATCCGGACCTCCAGCTGCCCTTCCTTCTTCCGGAGGACGGCTATTCCTGCGATGTGGTGCGCAGCCTCCCCAACGGCCTGCAGGACTTCCTGGAGCCACTGCTGCAGAGAGGTGACTTATCATTAAAAATAAATCTAATCTGTCCTACATTTCATGTGACACAATTAATTTTAGGTTTTATGCAAGAATGTGCAGTATTTTATAGTTCATACGTCTATACAAATGTAGGGCTCACTTGAATTTCTTCTTCTTCTTCTTCTACTCAAAAATATTATTTTGCTGATGTTAATGTGACGTGGATGTTTGACCTTCACTGAGTTTAACACTACAGAGAAGCAGAATTTTCATACTTTTTATATTGGACCCTAGTTTCACATGTTTTTCTGTCTAAGTGGGAAAACCACATTACATTACTATACTTTTGGATAAATATGCAGTATATTTTTACATGTTTTAAAACATATCTGTAGGGGATCTGGTGTAAATATTTTTTTATATGTTTTAATATACACCAAATTTCCACTTATATTTAGACAGCAAAAACAACTTGAGAAGGAAAGAGTTGATCTGATACACATACTTTTGTTTTTCTCCCACAGTCATTTATGTTCTGTAGTTATTGTTTTATTACACATCCTTTAGATGTGTATCTCGGTGAAAATGTACCGTAAAATGTTTGTGTGTGTGTGTGTTCCAACAGGTTTCTGTAGGTTAGTGCCCCACCCCCGTTCGCCTGGCACTTGGACTGTCCACTTTGAAGGAGCTGACTGCGATAGCCACTTCTCTGCTGCTGACAGTTCTGAGATGGTAGGACGTGAACACACTTTCTGATCCGCTCTGTCTCTGTCTGTAGAGTTTGTCTGACATCGAAGACGGAGACTAAATGTGTCTGCGTGCAAACCCGAGAATGGCCAACTTAAGTCAGCTTTTCTGTCGACACAATCATCTCCCATGCAATTATTTGCACAAATAAATAATGATAAAGAAACATAACAAAGATAAATAACATCACAGTGTAGGAAGAGGCAGAAGTCTCACGTGGGCTTATTTGAAGCCTCCACCTAAATTATATTAAAATTGTACAATAATAAAGAGAACATAAGATGAATATGCTCAAGATATAACAATATAAATTAATTACAGAAAAGAGAAAGGAAATGTAATAGTGTTCATGTGTTTGAGTTTAATCTAATTTGCTTCTGAAGTTTAATGATAAATTGTAATGGCATTAAGAAGGTGACATAGATGACTGTAGTTCTTAACCGAAAAGTATCCAGCTAACATGGAAATCCAAATCTGTTGGTATGTTTGACATTATATAAAGTGGGATTTTGTTGACCTTTTTGGGGCATAGTTCCACAGTACTGGATTATTCTGGTAAATTAAACTGGATTTACTGGGTTTAAGGGAAATTGAACAGGATTTTCAGAAGGCAAAATGTGACTAAATGAAAACACGGATCAGTTCCACCTCAATTTAAGACTAAAAAAGGTAAAACCCCCGAACAGAAAGTGAGCTGAACACAATATCACATAGTTTGACTATTTTTAGAAAATGTAAAACCTGGAAGCTTTGATTAGAGTCCAGAGTGTGCGCATTTTGTGTGCACGTTCGTACGTGTGTGTGGTCTCCAACTTGGAAGACATTGATTACAGTCACATCAGAAGGGGCAATTAACTTTTCATCACAGACAGTCATCACAGACGCACAACAAACACACACACTTTAATCAACACAAATCACACTGCAGCAGTCAGTTAGTAAATGATAGACCACACACACACACAGCCACTTCCTCTGTAATTGGTCTGTTTATCCCTGCTCTACTATATGTAATGCAGATGTCACACTAAAAATGTCCACATCTTTATGGAAACAACCTACTTTTACGCCACACAGGGTCACTGACATGCCTGCAGGCATAAATCTGGAGCTGCTTCCCAATAAAAGCCTCACATAGGAGGGCCTGTAGGAAGCTCTAAGATTCAGTGTTCGGTCCACAGTGATTATCTAACCAGGAGCGCAATGATTCAGTCTAAATAACATTGAACGGTATAGCAATGGTCGAGCGATGGTGTAAACCTGAACTAGTATACGCATTTAGTACTCTGTGTTTCATCGTTGTGGCCCCCGGGGGGTCTTTGTAGTGTAGTTGAAAACTACCGCTGTGCTCTCGCTCTTGCTTGGTGTAGATTTAATGTTCTTATAGCAGAATTTTTTTTAAATTTTTGTTACCATACAATAAACTCACTAGCTTTGTGTCCCGGCGGCACACACATACACACGCTCAAAAAAACATAACTATTCTGATGTTATTTTTTTGGATTCCTTTGTTTTTGTCTGCCCCCCCCACACAGCCACCCAGCCCTGCTTCTCCAATGAGCCTGTGTGTGTGTGTGTGTGTGTGTGTGTGTGTGTGTGTGTGTGTGTGTGTGTGTGTGTGTGTGTGTGTGTGTGTGTGTGTGTGTGTGTGTGTGTGTGTGTGTGTGTGTGTGTGTGGCCATGATGTGGTTTTTCATTCTTGACTTGAATCCAGCGACCACAGGTCCATGTGGTCTTTCCCTCTCCCCCCTTCTATCCCTCATATTCCTTTCCTCATCCCTCCCTCTTCTTACTCAGTCTGGCTTCAGTGGCAGACACAGGGACATTCGTTGACATTCGCCCTCCAGGCTTTTACAGACAATACTTAAGAGGTTTCACCCTCACTCAACCTTTTTCCTTCCTGTCAATCTATTTTCAGCCAATGAGGAAAGACCCGGAGGTTGTCACGGTAACCCTAAAGAAGCACAACGGAATGGGCCTCAGCATCGTTGCTGCCAAGGTAGGAAGTACCACCTGGTGTGTGTTGTCTCTGCGCTGAGTGGAAGATCTGAAGATCTGAGAAGCGTCTGAACTTTTCCAGAAAGTTTTTTTTAGTTGGAGAAACTTCTCTTTCAAGAAGTCAGATATTTTTTTTTCAAATATCTACAAAAGTAGTGAAGTGTGAAGGATTTTCACAAATTTGACAGGAAACCCCAAAATAGCTGTCTTTATCTTGGCTGTGGAGACTGGATGTATTGGACGTGTGCGTGAGGCTTAGCGACACCGAGCTGGCAGCGAAGGCTGCAGTTTTAAATAGACTGCTTTCATTGTTGAGTCTGACAGCAGCACAGAGACTAAACAGTGTCATTGCAAAGAAGGTTCTGGATGTATCCCAGACCCTTTAGTTGCCTGTTATATGGGAGTGGGCGGTGAGGGGAGGGACGGGGGGCGATGCACCACTGTATTGGCGAAAAAGAAAGTGCAACTATGGTGTGAGGAGAGATGAAATGGGATTTACTCGGCCCTCCCCAGAGTAATTTCAATTCCTGCAACTCAAGAAGTTTTAGGAGTTGCAACATGTTGATGGAAGTTGCCCTCAAATCAAAACAAATTATTAGCTTTTGAAAAGATTTCATCCGGCAGATCTGCTGGATGAAATCCATATGGCTGGAGCAAAAAAGTGAACTGCACTGTTAAAAAAAAAAATATGAAGGAACACTTTGAAAACGCATCAGATATCAATACAAAAAAATGACTCTTTAAAATTAATTAATCCTCACTGATATGGATGGTTTAATGTTTCAGAAATGGAAGGAGGACACATATTTTGATGGACATGAAAGTGTACAGAGGGCTTCATTTTCTAGACACTCTAAAAACCAAAGTGAAAATATGATGTGGCAGGCTAGACCATTGTGCCAAAGTTTAATTTCTACATCTCAAAATGCTTCTCAATATCTTCCTTGTATGGATACTAACTAATGAGGCAGTGGGTTGTGTCTTAAATGTCCTCTCAGATCTGTCTAAGGGCATCAGTGAACTCCTGTAAAGTCTGAGGAGCGACCTGACTGCGTCTGATAGCAAACAGAAACATAATGTCCTAGAGGTGTTCTATTGGATTTGGATCAGGTGATCGTGAGGGCCATCTAATTGTATCAATACCTTTATTCTACATGTACTGCCTGCATCTTCTTGCCACAGGAGGCCGGACATCAGGAGGAACCCAGCACTTACTGCACCAGCGTAGGGTCTGACCAGGAGGACTTGCAGCTAATGTCCCACGTCAGAAAGGACGTAGTGAACACAATATATTAAGAGCTGTAGACCGATGCCGCCCGGGTTCCAAAAATCAAACCAATGTATGTTATAAAATGAGTTTTCAGCTTTTATCAAGAGCAGCAACTAACATATATTAGTATTCATTTTACTATCGTGTAAGATAAAGAAAAAGAGAAAATCCTGCACCCACCCAGCCGCCAACATCCAACTCTATTATCAGCGGTTAAAACAGACATCACCATAATCACCCGAGCATCTGCCAACTCATTCGGAGCACTCGGCTTTGTCGCTCTTCTCCTTGTATACTATTCCTGTGATAGATAGATCACGACTCTTCGCTGTCCTTGCTCCGAAATAGTGGAATGAGCTCTCTGAAGACAACAGGACCGCAGAGAGCCTTCACATCTTCCGCCGCAAACTAAAGACACACCTCTTCAGACTCTACCTCGACTAAAAGACTAACAAATTGTAGCACTTAAATTATACTTATGACGTCACTCATCTATAGTACATTGGCTTATTTGAAGAAATTGTACTCTCTTGTTTCTTGTTCTTCTGAGTTTGTACCCTATGGTTGAATGCACTTATTGTAAGTCTCTTTGGATAAAAGCGTCAGCTAAATGACATGTAATGTAATAACGGCGCTCGCCACCTGGCGTGTGAGCCACGTTTGACTTTCCAAACAAAAGTGCATGGAAATGGCACAGGAACATGCGGCCCAGTTGGATGTCCATTTTGGCTTACAAATTTCCTCGGGTTGGGAGGGGCCCACATGCACTTACAGTTGCAATGAAAACTATTCAACCCCCCATTGCACATTAGGTTTATTGGCAAAATATACAATTTCTCAGTTGTTTGCAATAAACAAATTACACAAGAATTGTTTAAGTAGTTTAATGAAACTAATATTACAAAGGTTTTGTCCAAATTCAACACAAAATGCTACTTTTAATGACTTTAATGAATTTACTGCAGTCTCAAAATTATTCAACCCCTTCATGACAATCATTTTCAGTACTTCAGTAGAGCACCGTTTTGCAGCTTCTGACAGCGTTCCTGAGGAATCTTAGCCCATTCCTTATGGGCAATGGCCTCCAGTTCAGTAATATTCTTTGGTGTGCGTTTTGCAACCACCTTCTTCAAATCCCACCAGAGATTTTCGATGGGGTTAAAGTCAGGTGACTGTGACGGCCACTCTAGAATCTTCCATTTCTTCTTCTGAAACCAAGCCTTGGTGGACTTTGAGGTATGCTTGGGATCATTGTCCTGTTGGAAGGTCCAATGACACCCAAGTTTCAGCTTCATCACAGACGGTATGCCGTTTTTTCCTAAGATTTCCTGATATTGACTGAATTCATCGTGCCCTCCACCCGCTGCAGGTTTCCAGTGCCAGAGGCAGGAAAGCAGCCCCAGAGCATCACTGAGCCACCGCCATGCTTCACTGTAGGCAGGGTGTTCTTTTCAGCATATGCTTCATTCTTCTTCCTCCAGACATACCGCTGATCCATAGGCCTGAATAGTTCTAGTTTTGTCTCATCGCTCCACAGAACAGAATTCCAAAACTCGGTGGCTTATTTATATGGTTTTCAGCATATTGGAGCCGACTTTTATTGTGCTTTTGGGTCAGTAGTGGTGTGCGTCTTGGAGTCCGGGCATGGAACCCTTCAGTGTTTAGTATGCGGCTTACTGTGCAAACTGATAGCTCAGTGCCTGTTGCTACCAAGTCTTGCTGCAGGTGTTTTGCAGTCACTCGAGGGTTTTTGACCAGTTGCCTCCTCAGGAATCTGGTGGCAGCCGCTGATAGCTTCCTCTTTCTGCCACATCCAGGTAGTTTAGCCACTGTTCCTTCGTCTTTGAACTTGCGAACTATGCTTCCAACTGTATTTCTAGGGACATTCAGTGCTTTTGCTATATTTTTGTATCCTTTTCCTTGTTTGTGCAAGGCAATCTCTTCTCTGAACTTTTTGGACAATTCTTTTGACTTAGGCATATTTCTAACAAGCAATCAAACGTCACTCTGAACAACCCCCTAGCCAGACCAGGTATTTGTGTTCTATCTCAAGCACACCTGAACTAATGAAGCCCTTGATTAGGGAGTTGAATCATTTCAAAGGGTGCTCTACTAAGTACTGAAGATGCTTGTCACGAAGGGGTTGAATAATTTTGAGACTGCAGTAAATTCATTAAAGTCATTAAAAGTAGCATTTTGTGTTGAATTTGGATAAAACCTTTGTAATATTAGTTTCATTAAACTACTTAAACAATTATTGTGTAATTTGTTTATTGCAAACAGCTGAGAAATTGTATATTTTGCCAATAAACCTAATGTGCAATGGGGGGTTGAATTATTTTGATTGCAACTGTACATGTGGGACAGTAATTCTGTGGTAAGGCCGTTTGTATTATTCTCCCTTCATGGGTTCAATGCGGTTAGTTATCAGCTTGTGCGTGTTAGTCATTGAATTGTTTAAATTTGCATTATATGTTCTTTTAAGGAGCTGATTTACTGTCTACTCTTACATACTGTAGGTTTCTTATTTTTAGGGATCTTCAGACACCAATACTCATTTGGGATGTTGGGCTAATACTGATTTCAAAAAACTGGATTGGGTATTATTGACAATGGGGCTGATTTATTCAATTAAATTTACAGTGAATTGAATTTCCCCCCCTCTGTAGAATTCTTTTATAAAAAACCTAATTTTGGTCGTGGTGAAGATGTAAAATAATCTATGTTCTGTAAACAAGCATGAAGATTGCCATAAGGTGCTTCTTCAGAATATTTGAATATAAGCTCAAGAATATATGCTTGAATATTAATTTTGGTGAAGAAGGATGTTGGAATCCTGATGTCATGATGTAGAGATCCTTTGATGTAGAACCTGTCTAAGCCACAGAGCGTCCGTGTATGCGCGCACCTGTCTGGGCAGAACTGCTGTGCGCAATTGTCAAACAAAACAGTAATTCCAAACTTGGTAGGGACAGGGGTCCCCCCTTGTTCAATGGCAGGGAAAACACTGGTAACACTGATGTGGAAAAAGTGCATGAGGAGGCAGATGGTAATCTCCATGCAAAACACAAGGTTTCTGTCTCTGTCGGAGAGTGACATTCGTGCTCAAGGCGAGAGCTTTCCTGTGTGTGTGTGTGTGTGTGTGTGTGTGTGTGTGTGTGTGTGTGTGTGTGTGTGTGTGTGTGTGTGTGTGTGTGTGTGTGTGTGTGTGTGTGTGTGTGTGTGTGTGTGTGTGAGAAGGAGGCAGGCAGGCAGTGAGGAAACCTCCCTGCTCTGTTTATTGTCAAAGCAGAGAAGTGCCTGGTGTGTGTGTGTTGGGAAAGTCAGGTAGAGAGGATTTTGTCAAACAGCTGCTTGAATTCTGGGTAAACTGGGCTGAGCTCCGTCCAGTTATATAACTGTATGGGGGTGTGTGTGTATGTTCCTCTGAACGGGTGGAGCTGCAGCAGCGCTCCACCTCACTCTGACCAGCCGGCGTCCCAGCTGACACTTCACCTCCGGATTGCCACCTGGTTTCTCTACAAACGCGCTTGTATTCGCAAAATCGTGGAGAAGTTTTTCTGATTTTTTTTTTTAGCCACATATACGGGAATTGCTACAGCTTCTCACAACTTCTTTTAAAGTTTTATTTTTTTTCCTACTGAATTAAAAACAATGACCTTCACTACAGTTCTACGACTACTTTATTGCCACACACGTGGGACTTCACCTCCCTCCTTGTTATCCAACCC